ATGTGCTCTCTTATACTACTTGCAAAACCCTCTTTCTTTTCCCTGTTTAGGCATCATGGTGTATGAATAAAATTAGTGAGGCTACAGCATCACGTCAAGTTATTAAAGTCAGTGGTACTGCACTGTCAAAAACTGTAACTTTGATTATAGATTTCTGAATACTAAATTCTCCCCAGTGAGTTCCTTAATACCAGTATGTAAAAGTCTTAGAAATCATTTTCTGATTTATTGATGTTACCTTCAGTAAAAGTTTGAAGTGGTGTGAAACCACTAGTTCTTGCTAAATAAGTGTCAATTTGGCATTTTAGTGTTATTTTAGACAGATAAGGGAATGGAAAGCCTGTTACAGGTTGAAAAACGTGATCATAGGACTTTGGCACTTGGGATAGCTTAGGCTGTGTATTACTGACTGATGTGGCACAAAACGGAAAGAATCAGCATTTGATTTGCAGTACTCTGTTATGGTTCCAGGACCCAAGTTTTCATGAGTTGCTCGTCCTAGACCTGCACCACGTGTCTGTAGACTGTTAACTGCAGGTGGGTCTTGTGCTGCCATTACAATTGGGGCGAACTACGTACTGCTGTGGTGCGTGACTTCCTCGGGGGGGCGAAACTGTTTTGATTGAACCAGAGCTTGAGCAATACTGCTAGACTCCAAGTATAGATGCAAAACAAATTTACACCCAACAAGAACCCTGCAATGCAGTAAATCATTAAAATAGATGCACCTCTTAGGTAGCAGCTGGATGACACTGTAGTTTAAAGGCTGCAAGCTTTTTTAAATAGGTTTTCTGGTAAGCTTCTGTTAAAGGATCTGAGCTTTTCCACCTTTCCCCCCATCACAATCCAGATATTTCTACCCTCAACTGCTTTATTTATTTATCTGCCAAAGATTTTCCCCCATGTAGCAGAGGTGGCAAAAGAGAACGTGTGGTTGAGTATAAGCTGTTCTGGTGTGAAGCTCAGAGATAGGCTTGAAGCAAGAAGTGAGCGTGAGCCCCAAGGGACGGGCACATATTTTCTTATGCCTGTTCTGCAAGAGAGGTGGCCGGTGCCAATAGCAGAGTGCAGCAAGGCGCTGTGAGCATTAATATCTCATCGTCTCTCTGCTGCTGAGCTGGTCTGTGAGTGGCAGAAAGTGGCAAGGAGCTTGGAAACGCCCTGCTCTTTCCTACTGTAGTGAGCATGCAATTGCGGTGCAATGCCTCATTTCCATCAATGTGCATGTGACTTTTGTCTCTTTAGTATGTGTTTTTCATGGCAATAT